TTCTTTCCATCTTCTTTTGATGCTTCTTGTGTTGTTCAATATTTTGCCCACAGAAGCCTTAAATATTGCAACTCCAAGCTTGAATTTTTTCTTCAGTTCTTTGAGCTTGAGAAATGCTGAGCGTACTCTTCCCTTTTGGTTTTCTATCTCCAGGTCTTTGCACATTTCATTATAATACTTTACTTTGTCTTCTTGAGCCGCCCTTTGAAATCTTCTGATCTGCTCTTTCATTTCATCATTTCATCCATTTGCTTTAGCTACTGAACGTTCAAGAGCAAGTTTCAGAGTCTCTCCTGACATCCATTTTGGTCTTTTCTTTCTTTCCTGTCTTTTTAATGACTTTTCGTTTTATGTAAGATGTCCTTAATGTCATTCCACAACTCGTCTGATTTTCGGTCATTAGTGTTCAATGCATCAATTCTATTCTTGAGATGGCCTCTAAATTCAGGTGGGATACACTCAAGGTTGCACTTTGATTCTCGTGGACTTGTTTTAATTCTCTTCAGCTTGAACTTGAGGTTGTATATGAGCAATTGATGGTCTGCTCCACAGTCGACCCCTGGCCTTGTTCTGACTGATGATATTGAGCTTCTGCATCATCTCTCTCTACAGATGTAGTCGATTTGATTCCTGTGTATTTCACCTGGTGAGGTCCACCTGTATAGTTACCATTTATGTTGTTGAAAAAAGAAATTTTCAATAAATAGATGGTTGGTCTTGCAAAATTCTATCATGCAATCTCTGGTGTTATTTCTATCACCAAGGCCATAGTTTCCAATTACTGATTCTTCTTTGTTTCCAACTTTCATATTCCAATCACCAATAATTATCAATGCATCTTGATGGCATGTTTGATCAATTTCAGACTGAGGAGTTGGTAAAAATCTTCAATTTCTTCATCTTTGGCATTAGTGGTTAATGCATAAATTTAAGTAATAGTAGTATATAACCGGTCTTCCTTGTAGGCGTATGGATATTATCCTACCACCTACAGCATTGTATTTCAGGATAGATCTTGAAATGTTCTTTTTGACAATGAATGTAACACTGTTTCTCTTCGTCATTCCTGGCGTATTAAGCCATATGATTGTTCGAATCAAAATGGCCAATGTAACTCCACCTCAGCTGACTAATGCCTAGGGTATCTATTTGCAATCATTCCATTTCATTTTTGACAACTTCCAGTTTTCCTAGATTCATACTTTGTAAATACCACACTCCAATTAATTAATGGATAACTGCAGCTGTTTCTTCTCATTTTGAGCCATGTAACATCAACAAAGGAAGGCTCCAAATGCTTGACTCCATCCATGTCATTGAGGTTGACTCTACTCTGAGGATGCAGCTCTTCCCCGGTAGTATTTTGAGTGACTTCCCACTGAGGGGCTCATCTTATGGCACTGTTATCAGATAATGTTGCGCTGCTATTCATAAGGTTTTCATTAGCCAATTTTCTAAAAGAAGATTGCCAGGTCCTTCCTTCCTAGCCTGTCTTCTGGAAGGTCCACTGAAACCTGTCCACCACAGGTGACCCTGATGGTATCTGAAATAACCGCTGGCATAGCCTCCAGCATCAGAGCAACATACAAGCCACCACAGTACGACAAACTGACATACGACAAACTGACAGAGGAGTGGTGAATTAAAACATACTAGGAACAATAATACAGCCTTATATTTTAGACAGTGGCTTAGAATTTATAAAGCATTTATATACATACTATCCTACTGGATCATCAGTTACTCTTTGAGGTAGGCAAAGCCAAGTAAAACACCAGGCTTTATACGTAAGGAAAATAAGAGTCAAAGTCTGAACTAGAATTCAAATTCTTACTTCTAATAGATTTGCCCCCCAAACCAGAAGCAATGATTAACACAATTGTTGGCAATTAGTATTTTCTGTTATTCATTCCTAACTGATCAAATGAATAAAAACGAACCAAAAGAACAACTTCAGTCTTTTATCCTGCCATATCATTACCAAATATCAACACATCATAGACCTACTCTGTAACACAGAGTATGACAGCAAATATTTTGAAAATCTCTAAGAATAAAATTAATAAAAATTTAAAAGTATTTATCTAGAAGCCAAGAATGCTAAAATATATATATTGTCGTTGTTAGGTGCTGAAGAGTTGGTTCCAACTGACAGAGACCCTATGTATGACAGAAGGAACACTGCCCAGTCCTGCACCATCCTCACAATCGTTGCTATGCTTGAGCCCACTGTAGCAGCTGCTGTGACAGTCCATCTCACTGACAGTCTTTCTCTCTTTTGCTGACCTTCTACTTTACCAAGAATGATATCCTTCTCCAGGGAATGGTCTCTCCTGATAACATGTCCAAAGTATGTGAGACAAAGTCTCGCCACTCTCACTTCTAAGGAGCATTCTGGCTGTACTTCTTCCAAGACAGATTAGTTCGTTCTTCTGGTAGTCCATGGTATATTCAATATTCTTCAACACCATAATTCAGGCATCAATTTTCTTTGGTCTTCTTAATTCATTGTCCAGCTTTCCCACGTATATGAGGCAACTGAAAATATCATGGCTTGAGTCAGGCGAACCCTAGTCCTCAAAGTGACATCTTTGCTTTTTAACACTTTAAAGAGGTCTTTTCCTGCAGATTTGCCCAATGCAATGTGTCATTTGATTTCTTGACTACTGCTACCATCGGTATTGATTGTGGATCCAAGGAAGGTGCAATCCTTGAAAATTTCAATCTTTCTCCATTTATCATGATGTTGCTTATATATTGCCTTGGAAGTCAGTTTAGATGATTCTCCACCGAAATAATTTCACTTAAAATATCTGGGAATTACAGGAGGACTTTTGTGATCACTTAAGTCAAAGAAACTGCAAGGTAAGTTTGTTTAAAAAAACCAAATAAATTAAATGGTTACTTACTATAGTTTTAAAGGCAGCATACCTTGTATATTGTATCAGATCAAGATACAAACCAAGATGTTAACCCAGAAAACTAGATTTTTTTGCTTTCAAATACAGTAAAATGTCAAAACACTCAACCTTCAATTTCTAGCTTTCTACAAGGAAATCAGCAAGGTCTAAAAAGGGAGCAAAACTAGACATCCCCAGAGACAATACGAAAACTAAAAACCGAACTTGCTGCCACCAAGTCGATCCTGACTCACAGCGACCCTACAGAACAGAGTAGAACTGCACCATAGGGTTTCCGAGAAGCAGCTGGTAGATTCGAACTGCTGACCTTTTGGTTAGCAGCCAAGCTCTTACACCACTATGCCAAATACAGTTGGATAGATTTAGATAAGAATGTGGCCTCTCTATATTTTCCTCACCCACAAAACCAAGTAATAGCTATCAAACCTGCCTCAAAAAGTTGTAAATATCAAAAAGAGATAATGTATATGAAAATCTTAGAAAAAATAAAGGTATCGTTAAAAACCATCCATTTCCTCAGAATATGTGGCTACTTGCCTCCATAAACAACTGCCTCCTTTGCCATGAGACCAGAAGAACTGCATGGTGCCCAGCTACCATTACTGAAAGTTTTAATCAAAGATTCTATAGCGGAATTCTTATCAAAAGAGGGAAAAATACTCAAATTCTCATGGAATTCAAATTCTCATGGAATCCTGACTCTCTGGAGCCATAAAGGCTGGATAAACCCGAAATCTACTGCCCTAAAATAATCTTTAAATCTTAAACCAAAAATATCCCCTGAAGTCTTCTTTAAACCAAACAATAGTTTAATTTAATTAGTAAAGAGCATCTGCCTTGAAATTGTGTTCTTTTAAAGAACTAACTACATAGGATTAAACTGACAACAGCAACTCAGAAGGTTAGAAAAGAAACTTACAGGGCAGTAAGTTCATGTTAGTAGTGGACAAATAACTCTGGAAAGGAGGGTGAGAATGGTTGCACAGCTTGAAGAAAGTAATCAATGTCACTGAATTACACGTGCAGAAATTGTTGAATTGGTGTATGTTTTGCTAGGTTGTAGAGCCAATTAATGTAGTTGCTGTCAATAAGTGGTGTACCTGTAAAAAGTTGAACTGGCAATAGTTGTCTAATAGATATATTTACAATGACCAAAAAAAAAGTAGCTGCTGAGGCTGCTTATGTACAACCAAACACCTGAAGGGATCTGGTTCCTTGACTTGGAGGTTTAAGGTGATGGTTTCACGGGGCATCCTAGTTAACTGGACTAATAACATGTTCAGTGCTGGTATATCTACTAGTTTGTTGTATAGTGCCTGCGTCTTAAAAACTTGCAAGTGGCCATCCAAGGCACAACAATTGATCTCTATTCACCTGGAGCAAGAGAGGAAGGAGTTAAGAACAGGAGGATGAAATCAGCTGGAAAGGAGGGTAAGAATGGTTGTGCAACTTGAAGAATGTAATCGATGTCACTGAATTGTACATGTAGAAACTGTTGAATTTATGTATGTTCTGCTGCATATATTCTCAACAACAAATTATAAAAAACAAACAAAAAAATTCATTTCTTAAAAGTCAAGTCAACTGGCTCTAAGTCTCCAAGACCTGTCAATGATGCTTATTAACCAAAGACCTTTTTATATCCATAATCTTGATGAAGCTTCTTTTGAGAAAGACCAGAATGAAGTAACAAAGAACTTCGTACCATTAGTATTATACTGCATGTTTTCAAATGTGGTTAGTCACTTGTTACTCTTGTTAGCAAATCGATTTACAAATACTTTACAAAACATCATACAAAGTGGGATTTTCTTTAAAAAAACAAAAATTATTTATCTAAGTACAGTGATTATCAACATTTTAAATAAAATCTAAACATTTTCATAAAGATTATTACTATTATCAATGTTTAGGAATAATCAGACATTAACCATCAGAATACTTTTGGACATATAACCTACAAGAGTACACCATTAAGAATGAAAATTTCAATAAAATTATACATTAATAAACAGTACACATTTAACAAAAAAAATCCATTTTTCTACTGCATCAGGAGACACTATATACTGTACTTACTTCTGTATAACATTTTGCAAGCTTAACATCATACCCAGTTCTCCTTTCATCTTTTCTCTGTTAGCACGGCATTCTGCCAAGTATCGAAGGGCCTACAGCAGAAATGGTAACAGGTTAATTCACATGTCCAAACTATTCAAAATTAAAACAACTTCTAACTTACTGAAAAAGGATTTCATTCCATTCTTAAGCCACCGTTATTTGGAACACCTCCATTGTAAGAATAATACATTATCTTCATAAAAAAGAAAAAGTAGAGCCAGAGGGAGGTAGGAGACAGAAGGGAAGAGGGCCAAGAGGAAAAAGAGAAAAATAGGTTTTTGTTTGTAGAATCAATAGGTTTTGAAGTGCTAAGAAACTCTTCTTTAAATGTGAAAATTGGAGCAGTCCCCTAGGGTAGAAATGATCCTGAAGTAGCTGGATCTACTCTTTGAAGTGAAGGTTCCTAACTTATTTGCAAGGTCAAAATTAAGTTGTTCCGATTTTATTTTCACCACTTCATTTTGACAATGTAAGATACAAGGAATTTGATCTCTTGTATTACCTAACTTCAGGGAAAAGCCTCAATAGCCACCATTTCCCTAGATGTTTTTCATACATTAATTAAAACAAACTGCTGAGGGAACAAAACCTTTATGGAATAAGCTGATCCTTACCTTAACACAATTCACCTTTACAATATCTCCTTTTATTAAAAACCTAAAAATGAACTATTTCATAAACTTTCTACTTTGTGAGTTAAACATTTCTAGGGTGCTTTTCTCATAATATTTACTACACATTTTCCTTCACAAGCTGCTTCTTTAGGGATTACATTTAGCTGTTCCTCCTCACTACTGCTGCCACTACAGACGTCCTAATCACTTCTCACCATTCATATGTGACTCTCTGAGGAATACCTCTGTGGACAACACCACCGAAACTCTGCCGTATCAGTCAAATGACCTTCACGTTTCCAAAACGCTTTGTCATTATCCAACACTGTGATGTCTATGAATCGCAAGTTCTGACTACAACCTCCTATTCTTTCTTCTTAATCTTCTCAATTACTCCCACCATGACTTCCACTTCAGTCCCAAAAGGAATCAACTGTTATGAGATCTACCCTCCCCCCATTAAAAAAAAAACGGTAAACAGAACAGCATATATTTAAAAAAAAATGCTTTCAGACAATGAGCAAAAGGCAAGCTAGAACTGAGAGAAGGGAAACAAGGAGGTGAGCCCTATAGTTGCCCCAGCTTACTGCTTGGAGGCAGTTTCCAGGCTGCAGCACAAGGAGCGGGAAGCCAAATACAGCCCAGCAGCCCTGTGAGCTGTAAAGACAGAGATCAGAGTCGGGGAGGCAGGAGCAGCTATAATTTGAGGAACAGAGAAACGAAGAGAAGGGAGCTACATAGCAAGAGAGCTTCAGAGATCCAGAGAGGCCAGTTTACATAATACTTGACGACCTAGAAAAGTTTCAGAGCGGGTTTTGTAAGACTATTACTTCTACTAAGGCACCACAGCCCCCAGGGTGAATCCTACTGAATAAAAACAGTATCCTCTAAAATTTGAGTCACTAAACTCACTGCTGAAAGATCACACTACAGGTGAAACTACCAATTCCATAATCCTAAATTTACTGGAAAGTAGTTTTGGGATCAGAAGTCAAAAATATTCACTCTGATGTAGCAAAGAAAAAAATTTAAAAGGGAAAAATGTAGATATGTGTGTATACTAGAGATGCTAATATTCCTGTCTGTTTTCATTTTTAAAAGACTGACCAAACCTTCTCCTAGGAGTATGCTCTCCCAGGTCCTCAGCTGCTCAGACGGCAGTGACCACCTGACTCTGTCCTCCCTTGACCCCAGCTAACAGGACCAGATTTCCTCTCCTACAACTGAACTGGGAACTCAAAAACACCAGTCAGGGGGTTGTGCTGCAGGACATGTTATACAGGGGCTAAGGAGCCGCGGTGGCACAACGGTTAAGCACTAAGCTGCTAACTGAAAAGTTGGCAGTTTGAACCCACCCAGAGGCGCCACGAGAGGAAGACCCCAAGATCTGCTCCCATAAAGATTATGGCCTAGAAGACCCTATGGGGCAGTTTACTCTGTCACACGGGGTCACTATGAGTCGAAACTGACTCAACGGCACCTCACAACAACAACAAGGCTATTATCTAGAAGCAGCCACATGGGAACTTTATACACCAACAGGTCGGCAAAGAAGGAGGAGAGAGAGAAAACAGAAGCAGACCTGGATAATGCAAAGCCCCAGAGACAGACAAAGATCAGCTCCCACGGTCCCAGGCTGCGTTCTCATCACTAGTTTTAGTCCTGCACTTTTCACTCTTTGGTTCCAGTACCCTTGCCTTCTTATAACAGCCCTTCCATCCTTCCCCCCTTAAGATAACATTAGCTCCTTTTACCTATGCTAGTATGGAGACAAGGAAAAATAGAATTTAAAAGTTTAAAAAAAAAAAAGGAAATGGGTAAGTAAATTCTGTTATCAATCCAGAAGAGTATTACACAGCTATTAAAAATGAATAAATCTTAACAACATAGAAAGTCAAATAAAAATGCAAACTGGAATTTTCTGCAGCATCATTTAACAAATCAGGAGTAGAAATGAAGAAGGTAGCCTAGTTGGACAGCCCCTTAAACAAAGTTTGTTAGTTTGCGTGTAATACAGGAAAAAAGGTCACAGGAAAGGGTGCAGTAGTAGATGACATGAGGTATGACGACATGGTAAAAAATTCACGCGTGGAGAAGGAAGAAAACGGAGAGAAGAGGGAGCTCTTAAGGAGAAAAGGGAACATGTCAATGTTAGAAATCCTCTTAAAATTACAAGGATGTTCAAATTATATAATCAATTTCTCAAGTGACCACTTTCTAGCCAACCACTTACATTTGTTACTCATTTTCATACTAATATTTTATTGGCTGAAGTAAAAACTTAGAATGACCATAAAAAATACTGACTTACATTGTTTTCCAACACATTCCTTCTGTCACTGCTACATATACTGACTCCCGAAATAAATCATTTCTTTTTCTCTCTGAATTGGAGCAAATTGTGATTATAATGACAAACGTATTTTCAATCTGGGATAATTAACCTTGTATTTGATCAAGCTTTAAAACAACGGCTAAACTAACCAAACATCTTATTGATTCCACAGACACACACCAAACTTTACCTCTAGGCTCCAGCTCTCTGAAATTTTTTCTCTTTTCTTTCTCTCATGTATTTTTCTCTTTTCCTCCCTTTTTGTTATTTTTCCTTCTCATTTTACATTAAAACAAGAAGTCTATGTCCATCAACTGATGAATGGATAAAGAAAATACATTATATCCATTTAACGGAATGTAATTTGGCCATGAAAAAGAATGAAATACCGACAAACACTACAATAGATGAACCTTGAAAATATTGTGTTAAGTGAAAAAAGTGAATCACAAAAGTCCACATATTATATGATTTCATTTATACAAAATGTCCAAAATAGGCAAATATATACAGAGAGAAAGTAGCTTAGTGGATGCCTAGGGCTGGTGAGGTTGTGAAAGGGTTGGGGGTGATACCTAAAGCGTACAAGTTTCTTTTTAAGATGATGCGGTTTTAAAATTGATTGTGGTAAAGGTTGTACAATTCTGTGAATACAATAAAAACACTGAATTGTTTTTATTCATCAATTTAAACAGATGAATTGTATGGTATGCTACCCAAAAAAAAAAGTTGTTACAAAAAAAAAAGTGCCTTTTTAGTTTGAGTATCTATCTGTACTGATATGATACAATACTCAAAATTTCTTGAGTGAAAAAAACAAGTTGTACAACATTCCATGCATATAGTACACCACCGTGTGTAAAAAGACTATATACATCCATATATGTACATATATAGTCTTTTATATATATATATAAGTCAGTTTGTTGTACTGTGATGGCTTGTGTGTTGCTGTGATGCTGGAAGCTATGCCATTGGTATTTTAAATACCAGCAGGGTCACCCATGGTGAACAGGTTTCAGTGCAGCTTTCAGACTAGGAAGAAGGATCTAGTGATCTACTTCTAAAAAAAACTGGCCAGTGAAAACCTTAGGACCAGGCAGTGTTTCATTCTGTTCTACTAGGGTTGGTATGAGTCTAAACCGACTTGACGGACCTTAACAACAACAATTTATTTATACACATACACACACGCACGCACGCACGCACGCACACATACATACAAACAGGAGACTTACTACTATTCACTCTAGCTTCTCGGAATTTTTTACCGCGTCATCTAACACTTCTTCAAATTCTCCTTAATGGCAAAAATAAAAATACTGGGACTGGAATGACTAAAGATAACTTACGAGCAAAGCTGAGTGAACAACAGAGGGGTTAGGATGGTCCAGAAATAAAATAAGGCCAGGCAGACATCCTTGATCTTGGACAATGGCTCTTCTGTTTAATGGGTCTGCTGCGAGATCCCGTAGCTGGTTCACTACCGACAGAGCATCAGGTTCTTCATTCACGGTGGAGGAGGAGGAATTCATCTTCTATGCCATACACTTGAACAAAATCTTCTTAAATTCTGTAGAAATAGTTTGCAAAATTAGTTCTAGGATGCCAAGGTATATCATGGCATTTACTAAATAACCAGGATTATAACACCTTGAAAAGAAACAGATGAATTTAATTCAAGAACTGACAATTCCACAGTTTGAGAAAAGTAAAATGAACATCAGAAACTAACTGAAGAAAATCAAGTATCTATGCATGTACAATGTTTAAAGAACATATGCCATCCTCAATATTCCAATAAATTCCTTTTTAGCAACACATATTTTAACACTAAAGTCATAATAAACAAGATCTTTACAGTTCATGCTTGTAACCTTCACTGTGCTTCCAAACTGTAGCACTGCCAATGCTTTTATTTCCTCTGCAGAACATTCCTGAGCCTAAAACAGGCATCTTGGGCTAGCTGACAACTTCTTTTTTCTTATTTATCTACGAACAAGATCTGGCACACGGGGTTTACAAAAAATAAAATCTCCTAGGGAAAAGAATTGTGTCAAAGAAGTCAGTTAACAAAGAAGCCAGGAAGGGGATCTTGCCCTGTAACTTGGGCAGTGAAGTTTGGGAGATCCCAGTGAACGGCAACTGAACCTAAGCCCACCAGTCCATCTCTGAGTGTACAGTACTCTACTGCTTAAGAGAGAAGAAAGAATAGCAAGGATGAAGTAGAATTCAAGGTAATTCAGCCTAATCTTTCATTTGATACATAAGGAAACAGTCACAGAGAAGTTGAATAATTTGTCCCAGGTCACAAAAGCTAATTTGTGTAAACTGGAGTAAAACCTTCTTTACTGTCAGAATCAATCAGCAGTGGGTTTGGTTTTGATTTGGAAACTAGTCAGTGGTCTTTCCATACAAAAAAAAAAAAAAAAAAAAA